AACAAAGAGCAAATCCTATTAGCCGAGTCCAGAACTGGAGCATTATAAGATTACAGGTCAGCAGAGGTGCTTGGGCCAGGCCCCAGCTTACAGGAATTTACATCAGCAGAAACACCAGCTTCAACATCCACAAAGGGACGGCTCAGAATAATGCTTGGGTCTGGCAGGTATTAGCCCAAGACACGTGGTCTTGATCTGTGCTTAGGCTGGCTGAGGAGGAAGGGGTGATTTGGAGAGCTTGCTGTCTAGCCGGGACGCTGAGTGACCAGGCAGAGCAAATAGGGGCTGAGTGCCGTTGGTGCTCTAACATCCATCCGAGGCCATTGCTTTCTCTGCCTCCTGAGTCAGCCCAGGATTGAGACAGCAGTTCTGGGCTGACTCACTCGCCGGCTCCATCACTGCTGCCAGAGCGATGGTGACGTGGCTGTCAGGGGAGAGGGGCTAAAAAGAATAATCCTCTTGGCTCGTTATGACAATCAGTCCTAAAGGACTGCAGGGCCTTAGCCTGGTCTGCACAACCAAGGGTTGATGGGGGCCCAAAGAAAGATGGGCCATGGAAAGGTGGGCTAAACCTGGAGGCTCTGGATAAAATCCCTTCCTGGTCTGCAGGGGAAGCTGAAGCCACTGGAAACCAAAGCCAAGGAAGGTGGATGTGCTTCAGCGTCGCTAAGTCTGAACCCCTCTCAGTGTGGCCGCAGGGGCAAAAGGAGCGCTGTTCCTCACCGGTCAGGTGTGCCCTTGGGCAGCGGATGAACTGGACGTCAAGGGACCTGAGGCTGTTCTTGGCTCTGCTTGTGGGAATGGCTGTGGGCAGCTTTCTTCCTCTCTTCATCCTCCACTTATGCTTTGGATTAGACTTCAGCTTTCGGCACCCATCTGCCTCTCAGGGCGGCTCAGAGACTTAGTTGTGGGTTGTAAAAGATAGCAAGGTTGGAAGCCATTCGTCAGGGAAGCGCGCTGTTCTCTCCAGACCCCAGCCTGGGGCTGGGCAGCCCCTGCAGACCACCAGGACTGCTGTCGTTTTGTAGTAATATGAGAACATGCTTGGTATTTGTAGAGGGGCCGCCACCTGATGAGCAGCACTAGTGAGAAAAGGAACTTGAAGGGGCCCGTTGGACTCCATGGAAAGATTTTTACGACTTCAACTTTAGATCAGACCCATAATATCCCCATTTTCCTTGCCACAAGACTGACTAACAAAGATGCAGTTTGCCAGCACCATGTGCCATGGAGCTCAAATCACCAGCCCTCTGCCAACAGCTCCTTTCTGTCCTACCCATGTCTGAGAAGCTGATGGTCCTCCCATCACCTTATCCCAAACTCAGATTGGGACCTGTGTGTACAACGAGCATCCTAGAGTCTGCATCCTCCCTTGCCCTCGGTAGCCACGGGGTGGGACAGGATGCTGGGTTGGTGGACATACGGTGTGATGCTGTTATGGTCTAGCGACTGTTGGTGCCACCTCGCTGTCCCCTGAGCCATGCCGTGGAGATGGGACTCGATTGTAACTGCATCACAAAGCAGTAGCCTCAGGCATCCTCAGTTCTTGCTGAGGATACAGGACCACCTCGCACCCACCCTGTTGTAAGGGGACAGCCATGCTGCAAGCAGTTGCCCTAACTCGGGTCTATTTGTAAGGGTCATGCTAACCTCTGGGCTGCCCGAGTTTCTTTAAGTGCTGAGATGATGCTTGCTTTAACAAAGAGCTGCGAATTCCCAAGAGGTGTGTTGCCCAGACAACTCTTCCCACTGACAGATGCCTGAATATTTACATCCTGGGTTTTTTTTTTCCAGTGGACCCTTACTTCCATCTCTGACAAGCTGTTATGTGCAGCTTTGTGTCGCTGGCTGTGATGCACAACAGCTGTAAGGCACAGGGGCCACAGTGTAGGATGGGGAAAAGGCACTAGTGAGGCCTCGAGGTCTCAGACCTCAAATGTCCTGCTTCTTTATTTGTACTTGGCATCCAGTATGTGAAGGGCTTACAGATTCACAGACGTTTAGGGCTGGAAGGGACTTTGTGAGACCATCGGGTCCAGCCCCCCTGCTCTGGCCAGGAAAGAGCGCTGGGGTCTAATAACATCTAGTCTAGTGCGTCCAGTCTCCTTTTGAAGATCTCCAGGGTAGGTGCCTGCACCGCTCCGGCTGGGAGTCTATTCCAGAGTCTGGTCACGTGAACCGCGAAGAAGTTTTTCCTTATATCCAGTCTGAAACCTTCTTCTAGGAGTTTATGGCTGTTGCTCCTGGTTTTCCCCTGGGGCGCCTTGGTGAATAGTTGTTCGCCTAGCCCCTGATGCCCACCCCGATATATTTAAAGTAAGGTTAACCTGAAGAAGGTAGGTAAGAAGGGTTAAGGTAACCTGAAGAAGAACCTGGAGAAGAAGGTAACCTGTGGGGAGCTTCGTCTGAGAGCACTAGCGAGGGGCTGTTCAGCAGCAGAGGGGTGTGGGCTGCTCTTTTCAGGCAGTCTGAATACCAGGATTGACCTTCAGCCTGTCTGAACTGCATAGGCAGCACTGCATGTGTGCATGATAGTGGTAGGGGCAATGTGGAGACGGGTCCCTGTTCTTATGCTGATGGGATAGAGCTGTGTTTTGCTTGGGGTTTCGCTTGCTGTTGGTGCAAGGGCCTGGCTTGCCACAAGAGGTCATTCTCTCTCAGCAAGAGGCATTTGGAGTCGTGGGAGATGCTGTTTCACACCTATTGCAAAGCGCTCCTCTCTTGCTGCCCCTGCATCTGATGTCGAAGACCCATCACCCTGTTCTGTCTCTGACCATGGGCAGTCGAATCCTGCTGCTGGGCATCATCCCTTTCAGCTCTACGCCAGTCGCACCATCCCCATGCCTTCTGGGAAGCTCCTCCTCTTGCCCTCCGGTATCCAGTTTGCTGCTCCTGGTACCCTCCACCCCTGCACAGTAGCCTTCCCAAACTCCATGCTGGTCTCTACCGTGGACCTCTCTCAACTCATTTGCCCACAGGCCATTATCTTTAAATCCATCCTGGAAAATGACCCCAGCCTGAGGCCAAAGATGGGCAAGAGCTGGTCCTGACTCAGCAGTAAGGTGTCAGATTGTCATGGCTTTAAAACAAGAAGTGTTTGGATGCCCATGCAAGGGGGTCCCTGAAATCCTAGAAAGGCTGGCGTCTTGTTAGCCCTACAGGGCCAAAAAGGGCAACTTCTCCAGGCCCCAGTTGTGGGAAGGCTGAATGACCGGGGCTTTCAACCGTTCCATATCTAGGCACAGAAAGTTTTAATTGCAGGTTCTTCTTATTGCCTCTGGACCCCTGTTCCTAACACATCAGGCTCTGTAGGCAGTTAATTGTCCCAACAGCAATTTGGAGACACCTCTAAGACTTCTCTAAAACATGTTTTCTGTCTCTCGAGACTGGATACTAGTGCAGTGAAGTGGCAGGGGCTCTCGCAGGGCTGCACCACTGGTGTAGAAGGTGCCTGAAGGGCCCAACCTTTCTCTGATGCCGGCCAGGCTTTGATAGCAACAATGCCCACCTCATCTCTACTCCTGTTCATCAGCTGGCCTCAGCGCCCTTTAGAGCAGCATCATTACGGATGAGGCAAGTGGCTTGGCCAAAGGCACTCAGCAGGCCAGCAGCACAGCCAGGGTCAGCCAAGTCTCAGGCCAGCCCAGGGACAGATCCACGATGCAACTTTTCTTTCCACTGTGCTCTGACTTGCTTTGTGGTGTGAACTTGCCAAAAGGTTTTACTGGCGTAGGTCTGGGATCAGGCCATGATACACAGTGGGGGCAGCTACATATGAGCTATGCTGCTCTGCCACCCAGACAGATGCCAGTAAAACCACTCCACCCGATCACGGCATGACACTGTATCTGTCTCAGGAGTGTTTGTGTGTGCATGGGTGTAATCTTAACACTTTAGGTCCACAGCCTTCAGAGCTCCTGCTTGAGACTTCAGGTGCCCAGTGGCTCACAGTGAACTTTTTTCAAATCCTCTTCCCTCTCTACCCCCCGCGCAGGCAGAGCCAGCGAGCCGCTCTCCAATCTGCATGGGTCTAGTGTCAGATCTTCATTCTGGGATGAAAGCAGACAGTGAGAGAAAGAGAAGGGGGAAAGAGAAAGCGAGCGGATGAATATGGAAAGTGGGCTCTGCACTTTCCTTTGATTCCAGCAGACAAACATCTCTTTGTGTTGCAGTCCTGAGACTTGTGGGCTGGGGGGCTGTTTTAGCCTCTCTCTGGGAAATAGGGCCAGGGTAAGACAGGCACCAAATAGGGTGGTAGGAAACCCTTTGGCTGCAGTTAACAACCTGTGCATATTAATTCTGGCAAAGACTTCCATCTTCCTGTCTCGGGCTGACAGCTCCACAAAGCGCAGCAAACTGTCTGCCAGAAGCAGCCACTGGAGAGAAAAGGGGCCTGGGGTCCCTCCAGCTCCCCCTTGTCCGATCCTTGCTTGCTGCCAGCGGTGAAGCGGGCGCTGCACGGGAGGAAGCAGACACCTCATGGTGACTCTGCTGATCGCCCGGACCCTGCGTGTGTCCTCCGTGGCTCCATCCAGGTGCTGTTCTGTGGGAAGTTGTACTTGTTTCTGGAGCAGCGGGTCCTGCAGGGAACAGTGTCATCACCTGGACCTGAGACGATGTGACTGCTCCTCCTGCCTTGGCATCTCGCAGCAGATGTCTGTGTCTCAGAGTATAAGGGGCAAGTTCAGGGAGGGTCTCACAGTTATCCCTATCCTAGCTTTCTGCAGCCAGCCCTGCTGTGGCAGAGGGGTCTCAATGTAATGCTCTGTTTGGCCTCCTCACCATCATTTCTTACTTCCCTTTCTGGTTCCTTCTTTCTTTGGAAGGCATCATCTGACCCAACAGGGCTGCTCCATGCTGTGCCCCTTGGTGGGACCCATAAGGGAAAGGCAGAGAGCAGCATGGCTGAGATAAAGCTGTATCCATCCCATCCGTCCAATGCATTAGGGCAGGACACATCTCGGGGAGAAATCATGATGATGGTTTCAGCCCAGGTGGGTTTACATACCTGGGCTGTCCTTGAATGACTTGGTGTAGTTGAGGGTGGAGACCTGCCCATTGCACTGTGGGCAGGCCCCCTTGTGAGAGTCTGCAAATGCCTCCCAATGGGAGGATCTTGGCTACACAATTTATGGTGCTGGGGGATTGCTTTTGTGCTCTTCCTGAGTCTAGCTTGCTCCTTCAGCCTTTCGGCGAGGGCCAAGTGAGACTAGGGGGCATCTGAACGTAGGATGCATGTAGCTTGCACATAGGGTGCCTGCCATGGATCTGGGAGTATCTGGAGCCCCAGGCTGAAGAGTCTGGGAGGGAGGACACTTGCTGGTGGTAGCACCATGCAGACTTGAGCGATTGAGCTCTGCTCAGTTGAGAAAATTCAGAACTGATTTGGCCCGAGCCAAAAAATTAAAAAAAAAAAAAAATCTCCCAAACACCCTGTCTGCTCTCAAACAAAGAGCAGCAACTCCCTGCTTCTTCTCCAAAGCCAGCCAGCATTACTGCAGTGTGAAGTGGGTAGCCAGCTATGCTGGAGCCTGGAGGAGCTGTTTGCAGCCTCCCAGCTGAAGCCAACCCATGGAGCCCGGTCTGCTTGCAGCAGGGCTTGCAGCCTCCCAGCTGCTTGCTGGGAGCAGCCTGGGCTCTGTGGCTGGCAGCAGCTGCTTACAGCCCAGGCTGGCAGTGGCCTTGTGTGCCATGCTTGGCATGCATGCCGGGGGTTGCTGACCCCTGCCCTAGAGGGTCATTGAGAGCAGTCAGTCAGGTCCCTAAATGTATTTTCTTTTCCTTTACCATGTACCTCTAGATGGCTGGAGGATGAATGGACTCACAGGCCTGTAGTTCAATAGGTTTATAAATCCCAAACGTCTTTGGATCGTTAAAATGATAACGATGTTGTTCTGAAAATCCCTTGGCATTCTAGCTTGGAACAGCACTGTCTGCATGCGGCTGGCTCTGGGCATTGGGTTTGTCAGGCAAGCTGCATCGCTGGGGGTGACAGGGCTGCCCTCCCGGGTGGGCATTCGCACTGCTCTGTGCGACCTGGGAGGGGAAGGAAGAGGGTTGTGCTGTAACAAGGTGAAACGCGGGCAGCCCACAACCAAGGGGGAAGGGCCATTCGTTCCAAGCCTTTAGTGGGTCTTTAAGCAGAAGCTAAGTGAGGTAGTTCCTTCATATTGCAAATACGTTTTCCATGTATTTGCACACGTATGTGTTCAGGGTATGCCACGGGGCACCGTGTGTTCTTGGAGCCAGTCCCACAGACAAGAGACTTGCCCTTGGGAGTCAGATGTACCTGGCCTTCAGCTCCCAGCAGGCAGAACAAGGGAATTTTCTCCCTTCTTGATGCTTACTTATACTACAAAACTCCAAGCTCTGCTTGCCTGCAGGCAAGTCGCCCACGAGCCATTTGTTCAGGCCTCAGGCAGAGACATGCAGCAGAGCTACTCTCAGCCTTCTTGGCTGATCTGAGCTCTCATCGAGTAGTTAATGTAATTAGAGTCCCCTGTGCCTTCTCCTACCAGGCCTGCCTGTAGACAGGTATTCAAGCCAGCCAGCAGCTCAGGTTTAAAGCTCTCCTGGCTATTCTTCCACTGAAGCTGGCCCCTCTCCAGCATGGCAGCCTTCAGAAGGGTGCCCTGGAGGAAATGATATAGGCAGGCAGGGTGTAGGTTGGCTCAGAGAGCTGATAGCCAGATGGTCATTCAACTAAATGCTCCCTGGCTTGAAGCGCATGGCTGGAGCAGAGTTAGGTGTGTCACCCTTGGATTTGGGCCCGTGCGGCAGCTGGGCTACATATGGGAAAGCCTGGATAGGAGAGGGCATTTGGACTGTCAGCTTTGTGGGGGGGCAAGGGCTGTCTTTATGTCCTGTGCTCATACAACGGCCAACCCAGCAGGGCTGTGCTCCGTGACGGGGGTCCCCAGGGCCTATGGCAACAAACATGCTCCATCATCGTGATGATATAAAAGGTCACAGAGGAGGTAGGGGCTGGGTCTTGTCACATTTATGCTGTTTTATGGCAGGGGGATGCACTTGAATGCTAGGTCTTTGGATCAAGTTAGTGGGGATCTGCCAGCATCAAGCCCACGGTGGGAGGCTGGAGTGCTCCCCTACAGTAGGGGCTGGCAGGTGTCCAGGGCAGCCAGAGCGGTAGTTGGTACTGCCAGTCCTGATAGATCCATAAAATCATAAAAAATGAGGGTTGGAAGGGACCTCAGGAGGTCACATCTAGTCCAACCCTCTGCTCAAAGCAGGACCATCCCCAACTACATCACAGCCCCCTCAGTGTCCTCCAGCAGCAGGGTCTGTGCTCCTGAGCCCCTCTTCCCAGAGACTTGCCCTGCTCCCGCTGGAGACTGAAAGAAGGCTTGGGGCAATAACATGTACCCAGTCCTCACAGGCCTCCCTCGGGGCCGTAGCGGGGCTGCTCCTCCCTGTCTCAGCCAGCGCTCAGAGCCTGAGCACTTGGCAGGTTGGAGCCTGCAGGGCAAAGCAGAGAAGGGCAGGGTTTGTGAGCACTTCATATGCCAAAGCGGGGTGAGATCTGCTCTGAACAGCCTGCTCTCAGCACAACAGACCTACCCAGGTGCCATAGGCTCTGAGCAGTCAGCGCCTGCTAATTGCACAGCCCTTGAAAGGGGCTTCACTTTGTCTGGCCTGAGCGACTAGCCCAGCTGCCGCCAGGCGATGCATGCAGAAATCCCCAAGAGCACGTCTGCAGGAGGCACTTGGGGGAGCAGGGATTTGCTGCTGTGCATTTCAGGCATCAGCCCTGCATCTGTGGATGCCTCTGCTAGGGAGGGTGGATATAGGGCTGGCATTTGCCAAGCCACAAGGGGCTTTCTTGAGGAAAGAGGGAGAGCGTGGGACTTGGGAGAGAGGAAGAGCAGCCCAGGAGTGAAGAGGCTTTGGCAGCGCTCTGGTACTTCGAACCTGCAGTCAGACGGAGCTGGCTGTGCAGACAGAGCTTCCTCTGGGTGCCCACAGAAGGTGGGTCCACATGTAGACGGAAGAAATGGGAAATCATTAGCATGCTCTAGCATCCTCCCTCAGCTCGCCAGCTTTGGACTGCAGAACAGCTCAACAGGGAGCTAGATTGTCAAAGGCAGACTTCTGCATGGGCCGAGGGGCTGGGAACACCGGTGCCTCACCCACATCCTTCTTCTGACACAGCCTGGCAAAAGTGCCAGGAAAACATCCCATCCCAGGCACCAAGTCCCTTGTCCCTCCCTTCCCCCCAAAGATAACAGGGTCCTATCGAGATAGCAGGTGCTGCTGGCGCTTCCCAAAGCAATCCCTCGGCACAAACTGTGCACGTGCACACCCCGAGGGGAGGCAACAAAGGACAAGAGTGTGCGGGGACAATGGTAGTAAATGTGACTGCGAGTCTAAAAAGTTATTCCGGGTACCTGAGTAAGCCGGACGTTATGAGGCTCCGGACATGGGGTGTTTGAAGCGCTCCTCAGCTTAAACCCCCCGTTAGGTCTGTGTGTCTGGGTCCAAGGTGGGGCCTGTTCTGCGATGCAGATACACATTGTGAATGCCTAGCCAGAAAATGGGATCTGTGCCGGGGAGGAGAGCTCTGAGGTGTATTCGTATGCAGTTGCTTGGTGCTGTGATTGCTTTATTTATTGGTCTGGTGCCCACTTTGCACCAGGTGCTTTTGGGACACGTGAGGAGACATGACGCCTGTCCCCGGGAGCTGCCTGGACGGCGTGCGCTTAGTCTCTTCTGGGTGACACCGTAAATCCAGCGTTGGTTTGCTGACACAGGGGTAGTTATGCCTGATCCCTATGGGTGTAACAGAGGGAAGAATCGGGCCCAGAGGAAGGGCTGGTAGGTGATGTGACTGCCCAGGGCAGCTAGAGACCTACAATGTGCCCCGTGAGAGGTAGTGGGGGGTTGCTTGTCTTTGCTGTTATGTCTAGATCCCCACAAGGCCACACACCTCACTAGTCCAGCCAGCTGCTCTCTAGCAGCCCTTGTTTTCCATTTATTAAATATCTCTGTTAATTGGGTGCTGATGAAAAGCACTGGGCTGAGAGCCCTGGAGGCTGAACTCCCTTGGCCCGAACTCCCGGCAGCTCTATAACCAGTTTCCCACTGACATACAGCACCCCTGGCTGGAGGGACCCCCATCATGGCCTGAACAAAGACTTCCTCCACCCCAGATCTGTCCCACAACAGCTGGTGAGGGGCCAGGCCATGCTAGCTGGGATGATGATGCCCCTCTGACTTGCATCTGAAAGCAACCCGGAGCTATGAGCTGGGCCTCTACATGTGGACAGACTGGCTTCTTGGCTTTGGACCTGACTTCTTGTCTTGACCACACAAGGCTGCCGTGGAAAAGGTGGGTTGAGTTAGCGGGGGCCCTTCTGAACTAGAGGGTGGCGGGGTGGGCATGTGCACTGGGGACCTGCTGGGAGCACTGGTTTGCACTGAGCGCCGAGCCAGGTGAATACTGGACAGAGAGCAAAACAGACCCAGCGCCTGAGCCCTGGACCTATTGCGAGGGCTACGGTCATAGCATAATAAACCCTTACTGGGTAAATCAGGTACACGTTACATAAGTAGTCGTCGAAAAATAAGAAAGGGAAGTTAAACTGGAAACAATTTTAGCGACTAAATGCCAAGTGCGTGTACAAGCGCCCGATGAGAACCGAGAGACTGACGAGGGCTGGCTTTCCATGCAGGTCCTGGCCCATCCCCAGTCCCCTTGCAGCCGGACTGGGCTGTGCGAGCCGGGATAATTTTACCCGCTGGAATTCACTTCTCCGATTCCCAGACATTCATGCCCAAGCCTGGCTCTGAAAGACAAGTCTCCCTTCCATCGCGCAGGGCTGTGGGAATCAGCAGGTCCCGTGCCCCCGGGGGTCAGCATCTCTTATTATTATTATTATAATTAATAATGATCATTTGGGCCAGCATGGGGGAGAGACAAAGTGAGGTTTTGTATTTAAAAAAAAAAAAAGCCTCGTGTGTGTTTCTGTGGAAACCATGACATCACTACAGAGTCCTGAGGGTCTGGGCTACACAGAATAGATTTTTTTTCGGGGGGGGAAGGGAAAAAAGCGGGTGGGGAGGGGGGAAGAAAGAAAAGAAGAAAGAAAAGCGCCCAAATGGGGTTTCAGAGAGGCTCTGGGCAGTTGCGTAGCAACGGTACTGTAGAATAATGTCCTGTTGTTGGTGAGATATTGTTCGGCGATGTTGGGAAGGAATGCGAGTGAAATCTGGGCTCAGGCAGGGAATTAGTGGAGCCAAAGCTCTCTTTGTTTGCTGGACCCTGGCGTGGGGAGGGGGTTATTAATGCCCATCCCTGAGGCTAATGAATGGGTCCTATATGCCCCACCGCACTCCCACCAGCCCTGTGCCGGCCAGTGTCTCCGGGGCAGGTGAGATCCAAGTTGGTGGCTCAGCTCATGGGTTTTGCCAGCATAAGTTGGGTGTAAATGTGGCAGTGAGGCAGGGATGGGAACTGTGGGAGAACCAGGGCGAAGGCACAGGCCACTCCTGCCTCAGGATTTGCAGGGGGCTGCAGCTGGCAAGCCGTCCTTGCATTGTCTTTGCAGCTGGACCCTGTGCAAAGCAGGGCTAAGGGACCTATGGAGGGAGCTTCCTCACATCTTTCCCCTGTGAACTGATGCAGGGGCATCCTCTGCCACCTGCTTCATGCACGGAGCATGGTCACCCTCCCCGGGATGCCCCGGCAGGAAACTGTGAGGTTGCAGCCGTGTTTGATAACTGTTGGAGCAAGTTATTGGCCTAACGCAGACAAGACTGCAGCGGGGGTGCCCCCTCCTCCCCTGTCACTCTGATGTCTGTGTTTGCGACAGAGCCGTCACCAGGAAACAGTGGGAAACCTGGTCCATGCGTCAGTCAGAGCCGCCTCTTTGCACCAGTCAATGGCCATGCACACGTGTGAAGGGGAGAAGGCTCTGGCATCTGAATGCCGTTGGCTGCTGGAGATGGCAAGAGAGGTAACATGCTCCTGCCCCAGGGTCTTCAATGCAGGCTCTGCCGGTGCATGAGACTTCCCTTGGGGTTATCAGGCTCTGGACCTGCCCCTAAGAGAGCAGACACGCTGTGGTTAGTGGGTGTGGATAAATCTCCTTCTAGTGACTGGCCCCAGTCAGAACAAAGCCTGGGGTTTTGGAGGCACATGGAGAGATTTCTGTAGCCCAAGCGGTTGGGCCGGTGATTTTGAACGCTGAAGGGTCAGGTCCAGTGCTTGCATGACCTTTGCATCCACAGCTACATCTGGCAGCAGAGGATGCAGCCATATGTCAGTGCTGAAGGTGCCCAGGTGCCCATGACTGTCTCTGTGGTTAGGGTCCTGGAGCACTCACTCCTCGGCAGGGTATCAGCAACTCGCATTGCCTTCAACAGGATCCATCCCTACCCAACAGAGAAGGACAAGAGGTGTCTTAGATGTTGTGCTGCAGGTGTCCATGTGCTGAGCTGTAATACAGCAAAGGTGACACAGCCACGTCTATCATCTCAGAGGCTTTGCCATAATATAGCAGACCTAATGCATCATGTCTCAGTGTCTCATAATCATTGCTGGGACAGATAAACAACCGTTTCTTCCTAAAAATGTTCTCAGAATGATGTTGTGTTTGCCAGGGCTAATTAGCCAGCTGGCTCACCAAAACCCTGTTAAGTGCATCCGGATGAAAACATCTTAGCAGGTCAAATCCTGCTCTCACTTTCACATCTGCAGTTTCCGATGGCTTTATTGGCAGCGGCATGGGTGTGAGAGCAGAGGTTCATCCCTCTAGGCTTTATTTCCCATTAACGAAATCTCATGTGGATCCTGGTCATTCTTCATAGTGTCTGTGTAATTGCAGAAGCACACCAGGGACACCATTGTTGCACTAGCCCAGTGGTTTTCAGCCCAGTGGTTTTGCAGTCCCCTGGGGATCTGCAGACTATGTCCAAGGGGTCTGCAAAAGATGACTATGATCAATCAGAAGTATGTGAATACCCACACTGACAATTCAAAGGGGTCTGCACCTCCATTCAAAATTTCCAAAGGGGTCTGCAAATGCAAAAAAGGTTGAAAACCACTGCACTAGACCCACACATGTCTCAAAGACTGGGTACTTGAACATTTATTCCCAAGGTGATAATGACACTCAGTGGTCCCCCATACTCCCTGTCTCAGTCCTGGGCATGAGGCGGTGCTGACTGCTAGGTTGTGCCCAATGTATAAGCCCTACACTTTGCCTAACCTGTATTACCTTGTGTAGGTTTTCCCCAGGGATACACATCAGGTTTGCCCACTCGTATGGGCAAAATCACACCCACAAAAGCAGCCTGCTCCAAGACAGGTGTGTAATACTCACCAGCGTATAGACCTAGGAAGGTTCATCCATTTGTTTCTTGGGACATTGAAACTGAGCTGTTACTTCAGACCAGGAGAGAGCAAACCAAACCTCCAGGGTCTGGAAGAGCAGGTAGTGCCTTTCCAGTGGCAGCAGCCTGCCCTGAAACAAGCTGCCTGGCTCCTCGGGTGGGGGGTCTTTAGAGATGTCCCGATGCAGCACACAGAGGCGCAATGGTGAGATACGCATGGGGAGGACTAGAGGGATGGGCGCGTGTGGCACCTGGGAAGTGAGGGGGCCAGTGTGAGCTGTTCCTCCTGCCCCCGGCCCAGGCCGCTGCGATCCAGCCCTACACGTAGTGCCCGCATCTTTTCTGAAGCAGAACGGGGCCTCATCAGCTTTGTCGCCCGGTGCTCAACAGAGCAGCGTGTAGGATGCACGGGACCTCAAGAGGGTCATTGAGGTTCTCTGCCTCAGGACTGGAGACCCAAGCAGCTTCCCCAAGGGCCGAGATAGCGTTCGGGTAGTGGGGATGCTGTTCTGGGCTTCCCCAGCCATGCCCCATCCCGTGGGCTCTGTGTCAACGTGAGGGCGAGTGGCCTGAGCCTGGCAAACAGCCTGTCTGCACAAGACCCTCCTCCGTGTGGCATTGCATGGGCACTCACTGCTGTGGCATGTGGATGCATCTCAGAGGGGATGTCCAGTCCATGCAACTCCTCATGCTGACTCTGCTTCTCTCCCTGCCTCTCATTCTAGGTTTATGAATCACAGGGTCCCGTCCAACCGGAGGTACCAACCCACGGAGTATGAGCATGCTGCCAACTGTGCCACCCACGCCGTGAGTTGCCTTCACCTTTCCTTGGGGGCAGGCAGGGGCAGATGCGCCTGGCTGGAGGGGCAGTGTTGGGCCTCAGCTCCCAAAAACAGAGTCTCAGCCAGGCCCTCTCCTCCCTCCTTCCTTCTGAGAAAGTTTAGGAGCCGTCACACTTTGCCCATGCACTGCCATTTTCCTAGTGATGCTGCCCTCCACCTGTTTCCAGATGGGAGCTCTCTCACATGTCCTTTGGTCTCTGGTGGCTGTGAAGGGACAGACAATGGATAGGGCTAGGGGTAAGCCAATTTAAGCAAGGGGCTGACAACCCAGAACCACAGAAGTACTCCCATAGCAAGGCTCTGTGCACAATGCTGCCTCCAGGGAAGAGTGGATTGGAAGAGGACGGGAGAGTTCTTGTCCCACCAGCCAAGGGCAACAGCTCCTCCAGCCCCACTTGCTCCAAGCCTGGCTTGCACTTCGCATGGAAAAAGGGAATCCAGCGATGCGGTTAGAAAACCCAGGGCGCCCCAGCGAGGCAGTGCTCACACGGGGCACGCCGTAGTCTCCGTGAAAATGGAACATCCCTTTTTCACAGCAGGAGACGGCTGTCTTGGCAAGACAGGAGGGCCTGGCATGGTTGGGGCATGGAAGGACCTGATTGACTGAGAGTGAGGTATGTATGGCCATAAATACCACGTGGCAGGGTATGGCATTTAACGTGAGGGCATCTCCCAAGGCCTTGGTCCCCAGCCTCTCCCTATGGCGGAGCTGTGGCCTTGTGCCCCTTGGTCGGGGACATCTGTCATTGGCTGCAAGGCACTTCCAGGAGCCCAGTGATGATCAGGAAGGTTTGGCCCAGCTGCTGCTTAAACTTTCAAAAAAAAGCCTTTTGCTTTTGGGGAAGCTTCTCGATGCTTTCCCCGTGACTCGGAAAATACACTGCAGGCAGGGCCAGACACAGGCATGAGTGAACTGGGCAACTGCCCGGGGCCCAGACAAAAAGGAGGCCCAAAAATGGTCATTTTAATTATTATTATTATTATCATTATCTCTGGCAAAGGGGGCTCCATACTAAAAGTTCACCTGGGGCTGCCAGGAGTGTAGGTACGGTGCTAGGTATGAGTTCACAAGAGTCTCTTAAAGCCAGTGGAAAGGCTCCCACAGGCATTGGATTGAATCAAGGGTAGGAAGGGACTTCCAGATTCTATAATGATCTTATTAAGATGCCTGAAGGCATGTGTTACAGGAACTTTTTCTCTGGGGCTTGCTTGGGAGTCATGTGAAGGAGCCCGGGCTTAGCTCTGGGGATTTGCCTGTCCCCCGTATAGTGTGCAACAGCCACAATCAGATGATCTCCTCGAGTGAGGGGGGCTAGTAAGCCAGGGGCTCACCCCTCCCAGGGAAGCAGTGGAAGCCACGTGGCATGGGACCGTGCAGGCTGTACTGCCCAGGCAGCTGAAAGGAGCTGTTCCCCCAAGGTGGAGAGACGGGGTGGGGACTCGACAAGTCTTCTCAAACTCTTATGCCAGGGATTGAGTTGTAGGTACCAGAGCTGAACCCACACCTCCCACATCCAGGCATTAGCCACTAGGCCACCCTATCTATCCCATACACTGCCTGCCCTGTGTGAACAGCTGTGGGTCACCCTGGCCCCTGCATGAACAAGACCTGCTTATTTTATAAAGCGCTGTGGGAGACCTTTTCATCGACTAGAGCATGGAGGACTGAACAGCATGCTTATAGTGTGATAGCTCCATGGCTAGGATCCAACTGAATGGCTTCATTTTTCCAGCCTCTTGTGCTTGGGTCCCTTAGGTGACATGAAATGGCCTTGGGTGGCCTGGCTATGGCGCTGTCCTCCATGCAGGTGCAAGCTGAGAGAGAGACCTTCCAGCCACTTTGATTAAGCAAACTCTTTCATTCCCCACTTCCACGTTTTGCCTGGGAGCTGGGCCTTGCTCCTTCCTCTCCTCACATGTACAACAGGACCCTCCGCTTCCTACTTGCTGGGAAGGAGGAACATGGAAGAGACGTAGAAGGAACGAAGGGAAGCCTGTAGCATCCCCAGTGGCAGAGCTTTGGCTTGAAAGCTGTAGCACCCGATGCTTTCAGAGCGGGGTGCTGAGCACAGCTATAGCACCCAATGCTTTTAGAGCGGGGGGCTGAGCACAACTATAGCACCCAATGCTTTCAGAGCGGGGGGCTGAGCACAACTATAGCACCCAATGCTTTCAGAGCGGGGGGCTGACCACAACTATAGCACCCAATGCTTTCAGAGCTGGGGGCTGACCACAACTATAGCACCCAATGCTTTCAGAGTGGGGGGCTGAGCACAACTATAGCACCCAATGCTTTCAGAGCAGGGGGCTGAGCACAACTATAGCACCCAATGCTTTCAGAGCGGGGGGCTGAGCACAAGGTGGTTGTCACAGCACTCCCTCTGCCCATGCCGATGAGGCTTGACCCTTCTCCCCATCACACAGCGCTGATGGGCATCTCTGATCTCCAGCCCCCAAGACCTCCCAAGACCATCTAGGAGGTGGCCACCAGTGGATGGATGTCTACCCATGTCCCACCCTCAGAGGGGCTCTGGCCCACCACCTGGGGCTCCTCAGAAGCAGGCACTTGGCATGGGGGCAAGGCCCTGGACTCTCTTAGCTAATACAAGGCTGTGGCTGGCTCTGCCTCTCTGCAGGGCTGGGCAGATTCAGCCATAGATGTGGTGCCATTTTGCAGAACAGGGACAATATCTGAGTTATTCCATAGAGAGAAACGCTGAGGAGGCACAAATGGCGTGCTTCTCCTTTCCAGTTCTGGATCCTCCCCAGCATCTTGGGCAGCTCCATCCTCTACTTCCTCTCCGATGACCAGTGGGAGACCATCTCAGCCTGGATCTATGGCTTCGGCTTGTCCGGCCTCTTCATTGTCTCCACCATCTTCCACACCATCTCCTGGAAGAAAAGACATCTCAGGTAACTGAGGCAGTCCTCACAACAGCCACTCTGCCTCCAGGGTTGTTGGTTGTAGCTGTGTTGGTCTAAGGACATAAGCAGACCAGGTTCTTTGGGTAGATAGGAGATCTTTTATTAGACCAACTAAATAGTTGGAAAAATTGTTCCTTGCAAGCTTTTGGGCACAAACGCCCTTCTTCCGGCATAGGGAGAGTCTGCTGGTGTTGTAGGCTCTGCATGGTGGAATAGACACCGATATGCAAAATGCAGGTCTGTGAAAATGCAAATGTGTGGCAGTGAGGATCAGAGGAAACGGGTGACAATAGGTGTGAGACAGGTGGTGGGGGGAACGGAGGACTGCCACACATTTGCATTTTCACACACCTGCATTTTGCATATTGACTTCCAGTCCACTATGGAGAACACATGACACCAGCAGACTCTCCCTATGCCTGAAGAAGGGTGTTTGTGCCCGAAAGCTTGCAAAGAACAATTTTTCCAGCTATTTAGTTGGTCTGATAAAAGATATCACCTTTTCCCAAAGAACTTGCCGGCCTCCAGGGACACCCAGTGGCTTCTGCTCTAAGTCAGTGTGAAATACAGAAGGCTGGGCTGGATGGACCCATGGTGTGACCAGTGTGGTACCTCTTATGGGACAAACACAGAGGGCTTTGAGGGCAGAAGAGGAAGCAGGGTTTATTTAGATGCCAAAGTAAGTCTTGGTCTGCTCCTGATGGCTGGCTCAGCTCCGTGTAACTCCCTGTGTGTGTTTGTCCATCTCTGCTCTAGGACTGTGGAGCATTGCCTACACATGTTCGACAGGATGGTCATCTACTTCTTCATAGCAGCATCTTATGCCCCCTGGTAAGTTCACTGTGTAACTGTGCCGGGGGGGTTGGGGACTTAAGTGGTGCCTATGCAGAAATAGCCTCAACCTTCGCATCTAGGGGCAGGGGGTTAATAATAAATCCTCCTCCTCCTCCCCATAAAATACATCCCTGTTTCCCTGCTCAGGCTGAGCTCCCTGGCTGCACGTGGGAAACCAGGCCACTGTTAATCATGTTCTTTGGTATGGTATGGAGGGAGGGGTTTGAACCCATCAACCTGTGTTTTCAAAGGATGGCTTGTTTCAGGCTGTGTGGTTAGTGACTGGCACGAACTTAGGAAACCCAGATCCTTCAGAGTTGTTGAGATCAGCACCAAAAAAAAAAAAGAATAATCATGAGATTTAAAACATACGTATACACATGGGATGTCTTATTATCTTTTTACTTGCCTTCTGGCTTCTGAGTTTGCCATTTTCCACCTGTCTGCAACCAGGAGGGCCAGAAATGTACTCACATTTTCAAATGAAAGCTGAAAAACTCCTCCGAGTCACAGGAGTCGGGGTTATAAGGGATGTGATTTGGGATGAAGCTGTGAGAGTCGGCAACATGACTGGTCCTGAGCTCAGTGCCTATTCTGCTATGGGTATTTTCCAGGTTTCTGGGATTTGATGGTAGCTGCATGGGGTGGGAGGAAATTTTTTCCCCTCCTGCTGCTACATGTGTAAGGGTGTTTTTTAAAGTCTTCCTCGGAGGTATTGGTTGTCAGCTGCAGCCAAGGCTGGGGACTGTGACTGTGCCATGCCCAGTGCCACCAGCTTAAACCCAGAGGGTCTTGCTTGTCTGCTAAGGATCAGGCCGACCACCATATTACGGTTCAGGAAGGAATTTTACCCCATGGTCACATTGGTACAGACTGTGCGGGTTTTTGCTTTCCTCTGTAGCGGGGCACATGGCCCTCTTCCTAGGATCTCTCAAGCATATTTTAACAACCCTTACAGCAGCAGGACATTGGCTGCATGGTCCTCTTTCTTTACCTGTGGGAGGTTCAGGTGTTACGTCTCGTGTTGCGTCAGAGTTGACTGAGTAGTTTGGCTAAGAGGTTGGACAATGAGTTTGTACAGGGTGGTTTGGAGAGGGATGATCCTGCCTCAGGCAGAGATTTGGACTAGATGTGACCTCTGGAGGTCCCTTCCAGCCCCACTTCTCTAGGATTCAGTGATTTTAGGCCACATGAATCTTTGCGTCCCATTGCTCGTAAAGCTCCTTTCTGTAGAAGGACAGCAGAACCACTCAAGGTCCTGCCACGGAAAGTGTGGGGGCTTCGCACATACCCGAAGCATAGTGAAGGTGGCAATGAGAGCTGCTGGCTCCAAAACTTGTCCTGAAGCGACTGTGGGACAGACTGGGAAGGCCAGGCCTCAGCTGCCTTTTAGAAGCACAAGGAGGGTCAGTCTCACAGTGCCTGGATGATTGCTTAAAACTGGAAATGCTCTTGAACTGAGAGCCATGAACAACTGCCCCCTTCCCCTGCTGCACCATCCATCAGGGATGGCAGCGCCGCACGAATTGCAGACTCGCACCCTCCTCCTGCGGTTCTGGGCGGGAGGCAGCAGCCGGTCCCCCCAGCTCTTGACCAGCTGCTCTTCTCTGCTTCTCCGTGGCTCTGTCTGTGGTGCTTCTAGGCTGAACCTGCGGGAGCTGGGTCCCTGGGCCGCCCACATGCGCTGGATCATTTGGATCATGGCATCCATCGGCACTGTCTACGTTTTCTTCTTCCACGAGCGGTGAGTTTGTGTCGCTGCTCACGCTCCGTGTCTGCGTGTTGTGCTGTGGGGCTGCCCAGCCTCGTCCGCCCTCCTAGATTGGACCAGAACCTAAATGTGAATGAATGCAAGCCAGGACATGCTGGACAGTAGCTTCTCCAGGACTCCCTGAGACATGGGCCCCCTCCCTGGCTCTGCCCCACCCTGTACAGGGGCCAGGGAGCAGATGCCCCACTCTGGTTTTAATCAGCTGTGGAACGTGATCAGGATATGGGCTGAAATGTTGCCCTTCTTCCACGGGGTGGCAGCAAGCAAAAAGGAATGGGTCACATTCCTCCCAAAAAAGCCAACCAGGGTGGGATGTGGCCAGCCACTGGACAAGTTTACAGTAGAGTCAGGGGCATTTCCTAACTAAGAACTACCCCTTGCAAGCCTCTGCGCCTACCCCCAGGCAGAAAGTTGCTGCCTAGCAGGGCTGCCCAGTGTTCATGGGGTCAAAACCCAGGGGCTTTACACTCTAGACCAGGGGTAACCAACCTGCAGCATGGGGGTAACAAATGGCAGGGGCAGCCTTAGTGTATGGCCCATGGCAGGTCAGGATGAAGAGAGGCAGGCTGGGCAGGGAGCAGAAAGCAGAGGAGTGGATCAAGCTGGGAACACAGGGCAGGGACTAGGAAGCAGAGCAGCAGATCAGTCAGGGGATAGGGATCAGAGTGACACTCAGGGAGGTTGTGGGGCTAATTTATGTCACATCTGCCATAAAAGTTGGCCCGTCACTGCTCTAGAATATCCCTGGCTTTTTGCATTGCTCCAGGGCTTTCCACCCACCCGTCTCAATGTCCCGTGTGAACCGGCCTGAACTTAGCTCCACATGTCCCCCTCGCCTTTCCTCCGTGGCTACCATGTGCAGGATGCTATAGCGTGGCCAAGGACGGATACATCTGTGCTTGGGTCGGGTGTTTTACAGACAGGCTGACTTCAGCGTGGTGGAGAGATGGGACTTGCCTGAGGTCACACACTTGAGTCTGTGGCAGGGATGGAGTTTGAACCCAGGCGTCCTGACTCCCAGGCACGTGTGGTTTTGTAATCCCAAGGCATCCTTCTTCCCTTACCCAGAGAAATTCCAGGAGCTGAGCTGCTGGAGACAGGGTGGGCAAGGTACAGGCCTCCCCTCAAGTGATTATTATCTGTCTAAACACTGGCACTGATAGTGATCCAAGGTCTCCCTAGCAAAAAGTTACCCTAGGGCTCCCCGCAGTGGCTAGATCTTGTATATATGGTAGAGCCCTGGGCCCCGATCCTCTGTGAGGCTCTATCAGTGCACAGATGACAGATCCCCTCCCATAGCATCCATCCAGCACTGGGCTGCGTCCTAGGTGCTGAGGTCAAGGGGCCGGGGCAGTGTCTGCCCATGTTTCCTACAGCTAGTGCAGGGCAGGCAGCACCGTGATGGACACTGGGTGTTTAAAAGCAGGTGTGTGCTGCTGGGGCACATGCGTGCTGCTCACAGGCAGACACCGATCGCCACATGCGTGTTCTTGCACAGGTGCCCGCTGTGGGAGCTTGGAGTGTCAAGCCCATTGTGAGCGACAGGCAGGAAGGGCTCAGTATCATTCAAGCCTATTGTCCACCATGGGTCCTCCTTGCACTACCAGTTCGAGGTGGTGGTTTCCTTACAGGTTATGGGGTAGGGGATGATGGGCATAGAGATGGGTGGAGAGAAGAGAAATAAGGGGCTGGGGTGAAAAAGAGGGCTGCAAGAGATGCCAGGTCCCTGTAGTTAGAGCCTATCTGGGCATCCCAGGCTTGTGAGCAAACCCCTTAGGGCTGTCTCCTTTGCATCCCAGCTTCAAGCCTGCCCCTGGCTCCCCAAGCCTGGACCCCTGGGTTTTAAGGCATGAGATTAAGTTGCTCCCTTGGTGTTGAACCGCCAGTGAAGGTGTCTTTGTCCTCCACAGGTACAAGCTGGTGGAGCTGGTGTGTTATGTGATCATGGGGTTCTTCCCTGCCCTGGTGATCCTTTCCATGGTAAGCTGCTGCTACTCTGCTCCATGCATGCCCCTTCAGCTCCATGTGCCTGGGCTCATCTTGAGTTGCTCCCTGCTGTTCAGTGGCTCCTGGGTTTTGCCCCAGAAGTTGCTCTGTGTGGATGCAGAGGGTCACGGGGACAAAGAGATAGAGCTCAGTTGTCTGAGCAGGAGCGCTTCATCAGGGCACTTTGCACTGGGCTCTCAGCATGGCTCTTACCACCCAAATCTGTGCTTCAGGGGCCTACAGCTTGGCACAACACAGCTGTGGCATCAGGCTTCTCCACTTGGGCTCCTGGGGTGGCCTTCTTCATGTTAAGGGGAATAGTATCTGCTGGAGAGGAGGATAGAAATCCACCAGAGACAACAGGACTGTCTCGCCCTTCTCAGCCATTGCTCGTGCAGCTCTGTCTCACTTCCAGTCTCAGGAAAAGGCCCCAGGGTGGGATCCGTTCATCTCCCACGTAGCTGAATGGTACCTCTGTGCTTGCCCACAGCCTAACAGAGATGGGCTCCTGGAGCTGGTGGCTGGTGGCCTCTTCTACTGCCTGGGCATGGTGTTCTTCAAGAGTGATGGTCGCATTCCCTTTGCCCACGCCATCTGGCACCTCTTTGTGGCCATTGGAGCTGGCATCCACTACTATGCCATTTGGAGGTATCTCTACCGGCCCGACACCATGGAGGCCAGAACATCCCGATAGGTGCCTTAAGGACACTGCGCTCGCCAAGCGGCACATGGGGAGAGTCTTCCCAAGAAGCCGCAGTCTCTCCGTTCCTGCTGGAAAGCCATCCCCATCACCTGCTCCCTGACGGGCAGGGTTCCCCAGTTCCCTCCTCTGGCTGGTCTCGCGCGGACGAAAGGTTTATTTTAAACAGATTTTAACCTTGTGTATTGTTTATTCTTTAGGCAAAGGTTTCATAATGAAATGAACCATCCCTGGGTGTACCAGAGGGGTGGGAAGACCGCAAGCTCTTCCCAGGGAATGAGGGAGGACTGCGGGAAGGCTTTGTTCACGTGGTCTGGAGCCATCTCAAGAACGCTCCCCCCGATGGGAGCTCTGTCTCCCCTTCCTCCCACTGGACAGGGACCCGGCCTCTGCAGCACGCTTTGCTGGAGCCTCTAGCTGCTTTTTGAGGGCAGAGGCTGCTGTCAGATAGAAGGTTGTTCCCCCGGGGGATTTAGGAGGTGGGTGAGGCCTGGAAACGGTCAGGAGAAATGGGTGTTGGACACCAGGGGCCAGCAGCAGGATCCGGTTGTGATGTGCAGGCTTCATTGCCCACCTTAGTGAGTCCCCAGGTGGAGTGCAAAGGGGATGCCTGCTTAAACAGGGCTCTTATGCTGACCAGGGAGTGTGACCCCTTTGGAGACACGAGACCTGCAAAAGGCAGCGATGTCTCTCAACTGGTGGGGGTCATTTTAAGGGTTTCTCCAAAAGGGCTGGCTCTTCCCCCACACTTTGCAAGTCAGCAGCACTGCCAACTGCTGTAGCTAGATATGGGCGTGGAGAAACCCATTGCATCGAACCGTGGGAGGACCACACTTCCACTTTAAGTCAGCCCATCTGAAGGCTGAGGAGCAGGAAAAGAGCTATGGTTTGTAGCTGTAGGGTAAAAACCTTGTTTTGGGACATGCTGACGCATGTTGGCCAGGTGCAAAGGGAAGTAGGG